GACCGGACCCCACCCCAGAAAAAAAGAATACCAGGAAACAGAAACATGTGTTTTGGGAGGGTCAAAAGGGGGTACAGGAATGGAGGGAGGAATGGTGAGCAAATGCAGTTGTTCTATTCAGTATACACTATGTAAAAAATGAACTACATAACGTGTGGGTAGGGGAAGGCTTAACATTGTCAAGAAGCATTGTACTCACAACTTGACTGACAAAATTGTAACTCCTTTATAACAAGAAAAAAAGCATCAAAGCTTGTTTAATGACCTAAGAAATTATTCTTTCCTATGATTTGATGCACCTATCTCTATTCATCTGCATCCCTCCATGCAGTAATTGGAAAAATAAACATTTGTTAATTTTAAGTCTAAGAATTACACTCTTGTAATTTCTATCTCTGATATAAGTCTAAAACTTATATGTAATCTCTATCTTCTGTTAGTTACTAAGAAACCATTTATTCACTCTGCTGCAGTTTCTTAGTTGCATTTCACATAGTTGACTGTAGGTGGCAGCAAAGCAACACAAAAAGAAAAACAATTTTTTCCTCCTCCTTTTGTGTTTTAAAGAAAGATGCAAATGGGTGGATTTCTGCTGCTTTGAAAGCTGGAATATTCCCTTGGAAAATAACCCTTTTAAGTGTCTTTACCAGTTTTAGAGATAAAAAAATATTTTAAGTGGCCTTTTAAAAATTATTAAGTTGAATTCACTTTTATGTGTTTTTATTGGTTATTTTTCCCCATAATTTATTTTTTCATTTTCATTTTTCATATTCTTATTGGGTATTTTAAAGGATGCCTGATTTTTCATTTTTATTATTATAGAATAAAACATGTATATATAACTTTTCTACGTATAATACACACACACACATTTATATGCATACATACACCTATATATAAAATTAGAAATGTCAGAAACATTGTAAGGAGAAAAGCAAACCTACATGCTACCGCTTTTAACATTCTGATATACTTTGCCCATTTCTACAGTATTAGCATTTTGGTGAGATATTTGGAGATTAAAATTACATATTTTATCTAGCTTTGCTTCCAAGTTTTGAAATGAAATCAATATCAGATCCTCTCTATCTCACTAAAACTTTTTTCCTTTAAAATTATTAAATATTTAAAAATAACATTTTTTTTACATTTTTTAAAAATTTTATTTGTGAACATTCTGTACAGAGGGGTTACAATTACATGGGCAGGACATATTTTTATAGATGGTTGATTTTCTTTTTTGGCAGTACTGGAATTTGAACTCAGGGCCTCATACTTGCTAGGCAGGTACTCTACTACTTGAGCCACACTCAGCCCTTTTAATTTGTAGTTAGTTTTCGGATAGGATTTTGAGTCTAGGTTTGCCTGTGATGACAGGCACACACTACCAGTGCCAGGCTTTTATAAGTTGAAATGAACTAGTACTAACTTTTAGCTCAGGTCGGTCTTGATCCATGATCTTCCTGCTCTCTGCCTCCGAGTTACCTAGGATTACAAATATGAACTATTGTGTTTGATTTTTTTTTTCTGCTAAGGGACTTTTTAATAGTTATTTTAAAGGTGATATACAGAGGGGCTACAGTTACATAAGTCAGGTAAAGAGTACATTTCTTTCTTTTTGGACAATGTCCACCCCTTCCCTTGCTCTCTTTCTAGTTTTTCCCTCCTGTCCCCACAAGTTGTATAGTTCATTT